CGCCGGGATCGGTTTCGGCGCTCCTTTTCCCCGCGCCTTCCCTTCTGCCACTTCGGCGAAGGCTGCAGAGGCGCAGCGGGGGCGCGAAGGGTGCCGCCGCTGCGGCCTGGGCCTGAAACAAGATGGCGGCCCCGGGCGAGTACTTCAGTGTGGGCAGCCAGGTGTCGTGCCGGACTTGCCAGGAGCAGCGGCTGCAAGGCGAGGTGGTGGCTTTTGATTACCCCAGCAAGATGTTGGCGCTCAGTATCCTGACTGGAAGAGGGGAAAGGGCAGGGGAGAGCTCCGGTAGGGCAAGGGGACGCCGGCACTGGGCCTGCGAGGGGGCTGTATGGGAAGGGGGCACGTGAGCTCGCTCAGCTCGATGCCCCTTCGGCAGCTAGAGGCAGTTTGAGGAGCTGTGACAGATTTGGGAAGGCTGGGGCTGCTGCTGGAATGAGCTCTACGTCAAAGTCGCCGGAAATCTACCAGCGTGGTTTTGGGGGAAGGGGCCTAATTTTGAAAGAGGAGACTCGACTGAAGGGCTATCTGGGTACTATTTAAGCCAAGCCGTTTTTGTTTGAATATGGAATGAGGAATCTGGAGCAAGAGGTGAACCTGTACAGGAAGGGAGAGCCATTAGGTTAACTTAGTTAAGGAAGGGGAAGTGAATGTAGTGTTAATGGATGGATAAGAGGTGTACACTGAAGCCTAGAAAGTGCTTTCTGGCATCGTAACAGGGCAGCCTGGAAGAAAAATTGGAGGATATGTTAAGACTATCCAATTTATGGAGATAGGGTGAAGGGAAACTGTTTTGAGGAGGAGGCATGGAGGAGGAGTGTGGAGTTTTGTTGAGAGTGAAGTTTTAAGTTAAATCCGAGGAGGGTTGGAGGTAGTGTTGGCTGATAGAAAAGCATCTGAGCTTGACTTGTGAGTAATTCACAGAAAATGTGTATCACTTCACTGCTATTGCAGTCCTCTGGTGGGAGGCTAAGGATGGCTAGTAATACAAATGTATGAATAGTTCTATTTGAAAAGCATTATATGCAAATCAGTATATGTATGTCTTCATTTGCTGTTTATGTAATTGCTTTTGATGTATCTATGAAGTGATAAGTGTATGTATATGTAAATCCTTCCTGAGACTATTCGGTTTGGGATATCTATCAGCTACTTACTGTTATGTGAACTGGAATGCAATTAGAATTGGAAAAAGATTTGTGGCAAAAGAGAAAAGTGCATTTGGGGAGTCTTCAATAGTTACCTCTTACAACTGGTATGGATCTTCACTGAGCACATTCAGGCAGTCATGGCCTGGGCCATAGTTCTTGAATTGAGGAAGAACTCAGAGAACCTAACTTTATGAGTGATGGGGAGGGTTAATAGACCATTTCAGTGTGATATACATTCTAGTAATTGAAAGGCAAGAAGCCAGGCTTGGAATAACATGTCCCAGCAATACAGTGGTCTGTCTGGTATCTTTCTTCACCTTGGCAATGTGTAACGTAGCTGGTATGGCAGCAGGAAGCATTTTTCTTGTTTATTAATATGCCATAGTGAATCTCTGTGGGTTCATGGAGACATGAAAGGGTAACTCCACACCTTCTCTACCTCCCAAGTGCAGACTTCATTTTAACCTGTATGGCTTTAAAAGGATGAACTATTGTAAACAAATTCATGGAGGATAAGGACTATCCATGGTGCTGCAGAGTAGCAGCACAAGATGCTGTTGCAGTCCTCTGGAGGGAGGCTGAAGAAGTGAATCTTTCATCTGATTCAAAAAGCTTGTTCTTCATTTTCTTTTATTAGTGACAATGAAATTAGTGTTCTGGGTGACTTGGCAGCAGCCACATGGATGTATACGACCAGTCCACAGAGATTTTGTGTGTCCTTACAGCAGTTTTACAGCGGGACTGATAAAGCTATTAAGAGAATGAGGATGGGGTGGGGTTTGGTTTAGTTAGCACCTGTTGCTGGATATTTTAAGTGAACCAATCCTGTGTGGATGATTTTGCTTGCAACTATTCTCAGGAGGCAATCCTGATTATATTGGATGTACCATAAACACAAATTCTTCCTTCATAGAGGTGTATCATTCTCTGAGCTGCTGTACAACTTTTGTATGTTTCCTTAATGTTTTTTCCTCAGAATGCCCTTCCTCAAGTGGTAAACCTAACCATGCAGATATCTTGCTTATAAATTTACAGTATGTATCAGAAGTGAACATAATTAATGACCGCACAGAAACACCCCCACCTTTAGCTTCACTCAATGTTAGCAAGGTAAGAATCTTTTGTGAAGATGGGTTTTCAAGTCACTGAAAATATTGAAGGTACATTCACAAACTATTCACCGTATAAACTGTTTCTTGTTTAATTCCAGTTGGCTTTTAAATTGCACCTTGACGTTCTTAACCATGTCTTTTCAGTAGCAACACTGTAAACAGTTTTCAAGTTAATATTTTTTTTCTGGTAAATTACTTGTTCAATATTGCCTAATCCAGGAATTCTCAAACTCTGGTACTGCACTTTTATGAAATGGTGAATGAATTTGTGCAACCCTTATGAATAGATCAAATGATTTCATTTGGGCTTGGGGTTGGCCAAGAAATAAATATACTACTATGTTTCATCATATTTTCTTGACTTTTACCTGCACTACTGGTCAACTTTTCTCTTGCCACCC